TTTTTTTTTTTTTTTTTTTTGTGTAAAAGAAAAGGAAAATTCTGTTGATTATACATTAACACAGGGGAGGAGATTGTGAAGTCTTGATACACCAGCATCCTACACGCTGTACCCTTCTGGTAAATTCAGGCAGGGGCTTTCTGAAATAAGCGCTGGGCTTGCACTGATGTTAGTGGCTGCAAAATAAAACATGTTGGAGATCGCTGCAAAGGTTGGGAATTCAATGGTGAGTTCTACGTGAGCGATAAAGCTCAACTAATGGTCAAGAAAGTTCATTGTGTCTAGTATATATACGCCAAGCTCTTGGTCTATCGCCTAAATACCTACGACACTAACTTTCAGAAAGTTGGCATCCTTCTCAAGCTTCTCACGCAATGGTCCACTCTTCAACTCCTCTACATTCCAAGCAGCCCAGACAAAGCGGCCGTGGAGGAAGGCAGCCTCAGGAGAAGCCGCCCAAACAGCGAAGGAACCCGGAAGATCCTCTAATACTATCGTCAGCGGATATATGTAGAAGTCTTGAGCGTCACTTACCATGGTCCCAGTTAGCAGAGTTGGCATCCATACCATATTCCTGAACTCGGAGACCTAGAATAGAGCCCGGGTGAAAGTTGATGATCTGGGTCTTGGACGGGTCTGTCTCGTCTGCTATCTTTTGCAGCAACAGGGATCCAGAGTTCTTGGTTAGGGTGTAGGCGCCTGCGTCAATACCGCTGGTGAAATGGTGGATAGCGCAGGAGGAAACGTTGATGATGTATCGCTGTAAAAGTTTTAGATCATGTGAATATGTGTTGAGAACGGAGACTTACAGGTCCAGCTTCGGTCCTGGGTTGCTTCTCGAAGAGTTCGCAAAACTGATGCAGGGAGCGGACGTTGACTACGAACTGTTCCCAGACACCCTCCCAAGTCTGATCGGTAATTTTTCCAGCGACCATATGAGCAGCGCTTAGCACAAGAACATCGACATGGATTTTCTCTTTAGCAAGGTCGTCGAAGAGAGCATCGATGCTGGAAGGGTCTGCAACCTGACACATACGGCCATCATATCTTGTGTTACTCTTATCTTGAACTTCATCGGTGAGACTTTTGACAGCAGACTTGAGCTTTTCCTCTGATCGCCCAGTGATGATAACCTTGTCGGCACCAGCGAGGCCGAAGTTTCTCGCAATGGCGTAGGCAATGCCTGCTGTGGCTCCGGTAATGAGTACAGTCTTTCCAGCTTGTGATAGTTCGGGCCGCGTTGGAAGAATTGCGTCGTAGGGATGATTGTGGATGCGCTGTGTCAGGGGAATGGTTTTGAACTCCATGATGAGGAAGATGTCTGATTTTAGATGGTATGATGTATGAAGGACTTAGCTTGTTGGCTTTGATCCTGTAGTCGATGATGCTGTAGTAGATATTGTATATTCACGTTAGACATGTCAGGTATTTATATGCATAGAATCCGTTACCCTGCGGAGATTAACACTGACATTGTGAATGACTTGGATGTTTCCAGCTGATAGTCCGCAGTTGAGCTCAAGTTTGTGGATACGTCCTACATCCTTTCTGTAGTTAATTGTGAATAAAAACCAGGTTATCGGCAAGCAAATGCTATCTGTTGCAGCGTTCGTCGGAGTTAGGACTTAAGAGCTCTAGTATGGCAGACTTAAAGTCCATGCGTTAGGGGACTTTAGTAGAACCCACCACTTGAGACAGCGGACTTTGTACGAAAATTCTCCACAAAATGCGGAAAGGTTAGTTTAATCTTGCAGGGTACTCCAGATGCTAGGCTGACACTTCAATAGCTTGCGGATCTTGACCTTGCCACCATTAAGACTTCGTAGACCCAGATGATGCCAAGTGGTCTTGCTCTCAGAAGGTTACTACTATTTCCAGACGGTTCAATGCCACAGACGTTAGGACTTGGTCCCAAGAGCACAAAGAATTTGGGAAATCACTAGGGTTCATGGTCAGTTGGGGAAAAGGTGTCAATTGCATTGCATAATATTCTTTCTATAGAAGGGTCTTGACTTGAAAATTGAAACTAAAGGTAGGGAAAAATCGTCGAACGAATCAAAAACCCTCCTTCATAGAAACCTCCTGAAAAGTTGCCGACTTCACATTGACGTTTCGGCGATCATCGACTCGGCGAATAGACACCAGAGGCATGCACCTATCTGCCTGCATGTATCTCTTAATTCCAGACACTCGAGGACCCAGGGTCTTTCCGTCCGCTGCTATGCGGCTCTTCTTGATCCTCTATTACAGAAGCCATAAGCGCCTGCTCTTCATCTTGTCCTGCCGATTGATTGTGACAGTTCGGGCATTCCTGCGGAGTACTAGCCACAAGTCCCTTGACATAATCCTGCACCTTGTGGGTACTCAACAGCACAAGCAGCGCCAGGTAAAGGTGCAGAAACATGTTGAAGATCAACGATGTAGACGAATACGACACTAGGAAAATCTTCCCGCTATCGTGCTCGCGATTGTGCGTCCATGTGAAGATAAGTATGATGAACGATAAAATGGCAAGTGAGATATCTGCGATAAGACAATTCCAAGGTTTTGTGATGGGAGTGTCGGGAGGGAGTTTGATGTGCGCGGCTTTGCGTCTGATGATCCATGCCATAACAGCGGAAGCGATGAGGAGCAGCATAGTGAAGATAGCTGTAGGGCGAAGCATGACGATGAAACGGATGAGGTTGAGAGGTAAGCCGATGGCGGCTGAGTAGAGGAAGAGGACCCTGGCGGGATGGTTGACTGTTACTGGGTTGTCGCCGGCCATGATGAAGTTTGTTCAATTGTATTAACAAGTGATGTTTTTGTGTGTAGTTGTGTGGTGCAGAAGCATCGGTCTGGTATGGATAGAGATGATACTTATACTCGGTGTCATTTGCACCATCGTGATATAATTAAAATGCACAGCCATCATTTTCCGCAGGTGAGTGTAGAAGAGGAACATCTATGACATAGTCAGATCTCCAAGTACGTTTGCGTAGAATTATAGATCTCTACTGCAGTTGCTCAACTGTGTCGTGTCATGGTCCAATCATAGTCTCTGGCGACAAGTAAGATACGGAGCTGACGGGGTTCTTAAAGATCTGCCTGAAATAGGCAGTCAATTTATTCCCGGCCCAATCCTTCGAGGCAACAGAATAAGCTCGGTCTCCACCTTTCGGACCTTTCCTAAAATAGTAGTCATCGGGTAAGATATGGTAATAAGGTTCGCATATTGTTTTATAGACACGTATCTCAATCAATTAACTCAACTCGCGTGTTGCCCATTTCCTTCTTCCGTAAACCTTCATTCTTTACGGATAATGTGATTAAAGAACTCACCAAGAAAATATCCCGACCTCTTGGCATATCTAGTCTTCTCCTCGCTCTCAAAATCAATCCAGATAGATCCAAACCGATCCGAAAACCCTGCAGCCCATTCCCAGTTGTCCGTAAACGTCCATCCAAAGTACGACTTGATCACAACACCCTCCTGCGATGCCTTGGCTACCTCAGTAAGGTAGCTCTTGTAGAAGTCAAATCTGAAAGGATCCTCGAGGACATCGTCTGGACCCTCAGGCTTCCAAGCGTTCTCGCCTTGAGCTGTGGTGCCGTTCTCAGTAATGTAGATAGGTACCCCGTACCGATTCCAGATCCAGCGTAGCAACTTGGCCCAGCCCCAAGGTGTTGTTCGCAGCCAATATGTGTCGCTCATGGGTCCTCGCCATTGTCCTTGCTTGTTCTCGTCAAGTTGTTCAATGTTTCCCTTGTGGTCGTTAATATCAGCTGGCTCGTCGCGGTGCCGCACATAGAACGCTGAGTAAGAATTCATGCCATAGAACTCTGAGCTTCCAAGGACAAGTTTACTCTCTTCAGGTGTGAAACGGGGTAAACGATCCCCAAGCTGAGCACGCATCGATGCAGGATAGTCTCCCGTCTTGTATAGAGGGTCGGCGAACCAGGCAATCTCAAACTCTCGAGCACGCTCTGCGGCTTCTTGGTCCTTTAAATCGTCGACATCCCACGGCTCAGACCAATTGCCATGCAATGTGATCATAACCTTGCCTTGCTGGGTAGGCTTGAATTCACGCTTATACAAATCCGCGACGTAAGCATGCGATACGAGCTCTGTGTGTCCGACAATGAAAGGCTCCGTGCTACTATCTCCTTCTTCGTTTCGGTCGCGGAAGCTTGATCGCGCGGGCGCGTGTACTCCAGCAGCATATCCCGCAAGTGAATAGACGCCAGGCTCATTGTATGTGATCCAGTTCTTGACGCGATCACCGAATCGCTCAAAGCAAACGCGAGCATAGCGAATAAAGTCGGGTGTATAGGCGTCTTTGTTCAACATGCCTCCGTACCGATCTTCCAGAGCCTGCGGAATGTCCCAATGGAAGAGGGTAATAAAGGGCGTGATGTTGTTTGCGAGAAGCTCATTAATCAGACGGTTGTAATAAGCGATTCCTGCTTCATTTATAGGGTCATCCTTTCCACCAAGTGGGATGATTCTTGACCAGGCGAGGGAAAATCTGTAGCCTGTAGCTCTGTACCTGCGTAGCCACTCTACATCTGTCTTGTAAAGGTCATAGGACCGCACGGCATCGTCTCCAGTGCTTCCATCCTTTACTTTTCCAGGAGTGTGCGCGAACTTGTCCCAAATTGATTCTCCTTTGCCGTCTTTATTCCATGCACCTTCAACTTGTGCTGCAGCTGTAGCCCATCCCCAGATAAAGTCAGAAGGGAGAGCGCCCTTGATAGACTCGTCGAAGCTGGGCTGGGAAGTCATTGTGATGGAACGATAACAAAAACATCAATCTGAGGAGCCAGAGGACGTACCAGAAGAGAAAAACAGTTCTTTTTTTCTAGTGATGTGTCAGTCACCATCATGGGTCGTAAGAGGGGAACTTGCATGTATAAAGTGGAGCCTCGCATTGGCTCATGATCCTTCTTGTCTACGCGTATAAAGCTGGTCGTTAGCAGCATATGCATATCTGATTTTCGCACGAATGGTGACCAACACGGTTAATTCGCAATATCGGCCCATATCACCGTTTACCCGTCGTACCGTACAGCCCCAGATTATCCCCCAGACACGCAATGGCCAGGCCTCAAAGCATCAGAAGAATTACCCCCAAAACCATAAGAGACGAAATAATTTGGTCATTTTATAGTAGCTTAGGGTAGCACTTAGGCTGCTTTATTATAGTAGCCTAAGGCTTAGAGACAATTCTTCTGTTACCTACCTGCAGAATAGCAACAACTGCAACAGAAATGCGAGACCTAGGTTGCACTACTGTTCCAGAAATTCCATCGTGCAGACTTGAAAGTACATAATTATGGTCTCTGCCACGTTAGGATGGTTCACGAGCCTTGGAAAACTCGGTTCCGAATCGCTTGCAGCAAAAGCGGCATTCGTTTCACATGACCGTTGACCAAATTCTTGACAAATTGACTTGCTCTCCAAACATCCATAATTCCGTTACTCTGTGGGACAGCTCTGCAGTTCCCTATCGTTGATGCTGGCACAGTTAAACATGGGTGACTGTTTCGCCCTGACGAGCACGTCTCTTATCCTCCTTCTCAGCGGCCCATCTAGCGTCTCCCATTTTGATACTCAGTTTGATAGGGTTGGCGCCCTTGGTTTCAAAAACATGATCAATTTCCTCCAAGTTCAATTTGCTGGTTTCAGGAAAGGTGAAGTAGGCTATAATAAGCTGGATGAAGTTGTAGCAGATATAGACGGCCCAGATCTTGTATCCGATCTTGTTAATGCCTACCGAAATACCGTAGTTGTGTACAACACCAGCAGCGCCCTTGGACTCGTCAGCATAGGAAGGAGGGGTGAGGGTGCTTAAAGAATTCTTACCTGGAACATCGTGTACAGGGCCATACCCTTTGCCCTTAGCGGAAGAGAGAGGAGTTCAACAGGGTACAAATTGTGCATGGTTGCTATCAGGGATGCACTGCAGACTTGGAAGAGGAAGATCCACACGACAGTGAGGTAAGAAAGATATCTATCTCCTTGAACTTCCACTCGCCAACTGGTAATAGTGACAGCTGTTTGGGCGACGATGATGGAGATCAAGCCTACGAAGATCAAAGTTCGTCGACGGAAGTGCTCAATGATGTAAGCACCAAAGAGCGTGAATACGAAATACGTCGCGGTCGAGCCAAGAGTGATGCCCAAAACATCGAGTGACTTGGTGATACCGATGGTTTGAAGGGCGGGGTCCATGTACAATCCAATAATACCACCACCTACAGCGAGTCAGCAAGAAGCACGGTTACCACAAGTGAGTTCTTATTCTTACCGTTCCATTGCTGGAATACAGAGTAAAGAGCAAGGACAAATGTTCTGAACCCTACAGCCCTAGTGAAAAAGACGCGGAAGTCCCATGTGGCGCGGAAGCCAACAGCGGACGTCTCGATGGACTCGTCGATTTGAGAAAGCAAGACGTCAACGAATGGGTGGTTGATATCCTCTGAGGAAGTAAGGTACTCAGAGATCATCTTGCGGGCTTTCTCCCTCTGGCCTTTCATAACCATGTACCGAGGAGACTCGGGGCAGAGCCAGTAAATGGTAACGGAGACAAAGAGCGGGAAGATAGCCTGGATCAGGAAAGCAACCCTCCAGCTCCAGTTGTTTTCCCAGTGGGTGAAACCCATCATAATACCAATGACACCCAGGGATCCGACTTGGAAAAAAGCACCAAAGATACCGACGATGCTGTAATGTGTTAGCATCATGATGAAAGGTATTGGGTCTGAATATTCTTCACTTACTGTCCACGCAGGTGAGGAGGGGCAACTTCAGCAATATATTGAGAGCTGGTGCAAAGGGCAGTTCCAAAACCAAGCACAAAACGACCAAACATGAAAACTTTCACATTGGGCGAGAAGCATTGAATGATGGATGCGACGATGGTAAGGAAACAACCGATGAAGTTCACGGCGCGACGACCGAACTTATCTCCAAGGCTGAGAAATGGTGCACCGCAAAAGTTGCCAATGGTCATGAGGGCATTAATAACACCCAGAGTAGATCCACTGTTCTCAAACCCAAAGTAAGAATGCCAGTAGTCATTAGAATTGATACTGCTAATGACACCCCAATCGATACCGTACCTGCATTTCGATTGTCAGTATATTTACAAGTGGGAAAGGAAGAGGAACATACGCAGCTTGGTTTGCAGCCATAACCATCATGAGCAAACAGATACGGAAACCAGCCTTGGATCTAAGTCTCAGGGCCTCACGTGACTTGGTGATTAGATGGTCTTCGGAGACTCGTGCCGTGACGACGTCGTCGACGGCAACGCCAGACTTTTCTGCATCGGCTTGGACATCTTGATAGATGTTGTGATGCTCGAAAGATGCTCTTCTGGCTTGAACAGGCATCTTGGTAGTTCCCTTTTGAGATGATATTGTAAGGATTGGGCCAAGAGTGCCAGAGATCGATTGTGGATCAGATCCCAAATGATGGTATTTATATGAAAACTCTCACATTACACAATACCATCGATCAGCTCACATGTGCCACTACATTTTTGCAAACTTTCCCTCATATCAGGCTAAAGATATTGTTCTAGACTCAATGTGTGATCAATGATCACAACTCAATCTGTTGCAGAGTGCAGAAGTCGGTATCATTGCTATGGAATGGCGGGTAAAGTTGCCATACTTCTCTTCCAGCCATTGGCTCATTTTTCTCCCAGTTCTGGGGTTGGGGGCACACCCGATCAACCTAAAGAATAATTCCTCGAATAACGTTAATGCAATGCTATGCTACCCCGACTTTTGCTGGGGTCACAGCGGCACAGATTAGGCTTTATGTTTATACTCGTATAACACTTTTTCGTATCTGCTGACCCAATGCGAGAACGTCAAAATGGCAATTCAAACTAGTTGACCTGACAGAACCTCTTGATAGTTACATACTCCTGCGCATCTCCAATATCCTCATCATCCAGATCAACCCGCCAATCCGTCCGATTCACCACCGCGAGAACCTTGACATTAGCTCCTTTCAGAGCCACCCTACTAAGCGAGTTCAGAATTGCCCGTGCACCCTGGCGAGATCTCCTTCCACTAGGCGACTGGTGCTGGACCTGGCTACAGCATCTATCAACACGGTCTAAAACGACCCAAACCATTTTTTCTCGGCTGACCATTTTCAAAATCCTAGAAGCAACATCTTCCAAAGCCTTCCGCTTATCACTTTCGTCTGGAACGGTCTGATACCGACGGAGCTTTGCCAGTATCTCATCCACCTGCGTCTGGTCTTGAAGTATCTCCTTGTTGAGATGGAGTATTTGGTAGATCAGTGACGAGAATACGTGTAGGTTAGTGTTCTCGTGATCGTGGCGGCCGAATAGGTGAAAGGCGCATGGGTAGTCATTCAATCGTTCGTCGATAAGATCTAGAGCCACATAGGATGCCCAGCAATTATGGGCTCTGTCATTGTCGTTCTCTCCAGAAACGACAAACAGGCCAGAATCCTTTGAATCTCGCCACATCTTGACGTTCTGATCATTTTTGATCTGGTCGAGTTGTTGAGTCCGCTCTTGCTCGCCATGCCATGTCTTTGGCCAGAATTCTGCCTCGATGTTCCTCCGGTGGCTGTCTAGCTGGCTGTGGTGATCCTCGCAGGAGAAGTCGTGGAGGTTGAGTAGAGTGCCTATTTGGTTCATTGTCATCGTGTCGTTGTGTTCTTGTAGCTCTACTTCGGTTAGTCGTTGCTCATTTCCATGCACAATGATGCTTGCAAAGTGTACCTCGGATCTGAGCACGCAGACTCTCGTTGCTCACTTGTACCTCCTCAAGCTTTTGCTTGATACTATTCACATTCTTGCCAAGCGCCTCTTCACAGACGAGCCTAACGTTAACCACAGCTGTCTTCACAAGGTCTGCCTTTTGCGACAGTCCGTTCTGGCTTATGAATGTTTGCATAAGTCGATCTGATTAACAAGTGTCAGTAGCGGAATGCAAGCGGGTTTTGAAACCTACGGCAACTTCCGTGAGTGTAAAACTCTAGAGCTTCAATGCAGTAATTCATAAACGCGGCGTAGGTCTCCACAATGGACGATTGTAGTAAGTGGTCGAGTTCGTGGTCTTCATTGTAGATGTGTCGGTACATACTCAAGCCTGGAAGTCGGTCTTTGATGGCCTTTAATGTGGTTTCAATATTCTCTTCCATGCTCACTCGACTCTTGGCGACCTACTATCTCATTAACACTTGGTCAAATAATACCTATTTCAGCGTACCGCAAACAAACAGCACAGAGTTCCAATAGCAACATTGCCGAACGGGGATCCAAAGTCCTTTACCACCTCTACCATAGGGCTGAAGCCTCGTAATAGGTCATAGGCCGTAGCTGCCAAGCCGGTCGTTTCCTTGGAGACCTTTGAGATGCCGTGTTCGCGACTGGCGTCGAAATTACCTTTGGCATTAAAGGCTGTCTGCCAAAAGTGGCTTACTGCTTCGTCGCTGCTTACGTCGAAAGCAGATAGTTGCTCTGGGGTCAATCTCCGCGTTATGTGAGAACTTTCGCGAAGACTCTTTTGTCTCGTTTCAATATCCTCAAGCTTTTTCCTGTAATGATAGCTGTTAGTATAAGCCCCTCCTTATATCACCATTGGGACATTACATGTTCTCTTCATTGAACCTAATGACTCTGCCCTCTTTGTCTGTTGATGAAGACATTTTGATGATGTTTTTCTGGCTCGCCGGCGCAGCCTCCTGAGGGCAGTCCCTTGCTTGGGCAACGGTTGACGTGCAACAAAAGAGTCTCAGAATGGAGAGTAAAAAATGGAACCAAGGCTTCCTATGTCAGCTTCCCGTATGTGACTTCGACAGCTGACCCTCGACCATCACACCCTGGCTTTTCTTGGCATTGCTTATCCCTCGAAGGATGAGGGTAACGTTAAGCGATCGCACAGGCGACTCCACTTACCAAGCACTACCCAACGAGCACAGCTCTGGACTGGCCACATGTCACTGCATGGTTTGTTAAAGGCGATCCCAAACAAACACGGAACTACCGCTCCCCGACCGGTTTGCTGTTTTGCTGAGTTAGATGCCAAGTTTGGGTGTGAAGGGTTAGTCTCCGAAATACCCGTCGGCCGACAAATGCTTATCATCTGTACCATCCCGGAGACTTTTCACTTGCGCGCGAGTAAGTATTACTTGAATTGGTCGACAGACATGTACTGAGAAGGATTTGTTTCAGTTCAAAGGTTTTGCCAAGCTAATGGATGTCTCAGGCCGCGAATGATTGGTAGCCTGGGCTGCTATCCCTGGTTCTGGCCCCCAAATTGACAGGACTCCTTGCAAAGCAATATCTCCAGCCGCATCTAACGCACAGGATTTGGACGGTGACCTTCCTATCTTGGACCTTCAATCTCACCTGGTGCGTGAGACTTTTTGAGATGATTATCTTTTTTCGGTCAAATATAAGAGAATTTGGGAAATGGAAGTACCAATGTATCAAATCAGGCTCGGCAACTCTCTCGGCAAGGCTGAGGGTAGAGCTTTACTTTCCTAATCACTACAAAGTCGCAGTGGCCCCCAGTGAGACTTTGGAGGTCGACAGAGAACGGGACGAACCCTTGGAACTTTCCAGATTCCTTCAGAACCCATTTGCTGTTACCTGACCCTAAGCTTGCAGTGTGCCTGGAACTTCATCCAGTGCTTCTTTCAAGATGGAGTCAAATGAGACTCCGGAAACGGTATGTGAAACAATCAATGTGCTTGTATTTATGATGTTCATTCCCATCTAGACTTTGGCCCAGAGACTGGCGGCTGTGGAGAAACAGCTGGCAGATCTCAAGGTGCAGCCAGTCCCCTCGCCCATGAAGGTGGTTGGGGAACTTGAGCCGCTCTCCCCAATCGATCAGAAAGTCGAGACCAAGGTATGCAGCATCCAAATCATTCTCTCACAACTAACTTTGAGGTAGAATGAAGATGCGCAGCCCAAGTCACGAGTGAAGCTCATCATCAGCAAGACTGATCCCGAGACTGGGGAGATCGTCCAGGATGACAGCAAAGTCCTCAAGACAAACGACAAAGATGAAGACAGAGACAGGTACGCCTTTGCTCTTCGGAAGATGGTCCAAGACAACGATAACTCACGACAAATCTCTTCCGAGATTGACATCATCAACTTGGATCTGTGGGCTTTGTTGAAAGAGAGGCTGAGCTACTACCCATATCACCTCTATCGTGATTCCCCTGTCACCCTCTGGTCTCCCTACGAGTCTCTTGTATTCGAGTTCGACGCTCTGATGGCGATGTCTCAGGTCGAGCCGACCAGTGATACTGACAAAAGGGCTCGTGAGGACCTGAAGCTACTTCTTGATACTATCTCTGGTGGCTCGTCTGGTGATGAACGGCTTGACAAATATTTCAAAGCCCGACAAAACTACAAGAAGCAGAAGCCTGAGACCGTCCAATTTGAAGATCTATGGACTGTCTTCCAACCAGGAACTCTGGTCTATGGCCAACCCTTCCAAGGTCAGCCGCAGGTCTTCGTCGTCAAGGACAATTTTAGGCCTTGGCCATGGCAAAGACCCGACAAAAAGGCGAGAGGCGGCACTCGTCCCGATACTTGGGAGCTCGATGCCTGGTCATATGACTGGCGAGATGGCTCATTTAGTCGTTGTCTGTTTGTACTTAACTTCGACCACTTTGAAGGTCATCTTCCCTTGACGTCTCTCCCTTACTATCCATTCGAGCTTCATCCCGAGTATGAGGCTAAGCGCGCAGAACTCATTGCTCGGGGAAGGGACTTTCGGAAGATTTGTGAGGCCAAGCAGGGATCGAGGCTCTTTGATTACCGTGGCAGGTCGGTCATCGAGAAGAAGGGTCTCGCTGTCGCGCGACAGGACGATGATGTAAGCCCCATTACCGTATTTTCAATGCATGCATTGACAGTCTTTCTTAGAGTTTCGACGGTGATACCGCCAGCTCGTATATGATAGGCTCCCAAGTAGGACACAACCACAATGGCGCCACCGTTCTGGCTCCCCGATCATCCGAGGTATATCTGGTTTTGTATTCCATCTTGTTCAAGAGCTAACTAGTCTTTAGGTCAAGAGCAGGGTCATGGTAGACTACGAGTCCTACTTCGAATACGGCGGCGCAAACGTAAGAAACGGTCCTCTTACGGCTGTTGACAGCGAAGAGTGCCTCTGTTTCGATTGCCAGCAGAACACTGGCCTCTGCGCTCGTTATCGAACTCACTTCGACCAAGCCAGATTTGTTCTTCAGAAGGAGTGGGAAGAGGAACAGTACTTGATATGTCCACCTCGTGTGCTAGGATATATCCTGAAGGACAAACAATGGGCTCAGCTCCAAGTCACCCTTCTAAGTCCCCTGAGTCAGTATGATGATGATGAATTGCTCTCGCGTCTCAAATTGGCAGACGACCCCACTGACACGTCATCGAAGAAAGGTAAGTCCTGTGGGTTATCCTTCTCTAGGAAATTGCTGAAATCGTGTTCAGAAAAGGACGAGTCCACCAAGGCGCTTCTTTTAGACCTTGTTCGAAGTCACACTTCAACTGAGGTGAAGACGGAAGCAGAGGACGAGGAAAGGTTAAACGTGGATGACATTATCCCAGACAAAGGAAAAGGGCTCATCATCCTTCTTTATGGTATGTCGACGCCACATATCCGTGCGACCTTGAATTGACATTTGACTTACCAGGTCCGCCCGGAGTTGGCAAGACTTCGACAGCGGAAGCTATCGCAATCGCTACAGGCAAAGCCTTGTTCTCGGTTAGCGTTGCTGATGTTGGCACGCAAGCGAAGCATGTCGAATCGAACCTAGCCAGAATTTTCGCACTTGCGACGAAGTGGCAGGCAATTCTACTTATGTCAGTGCCTTCAAGTGATTATTCCTAGGTGAATGCGGACTAATACAATCGCAGTGATGAAGCAGACGTCTTCCTTGAGAGTCGTGGTAGAGGCAACAAGGCCATCTCGACAGAGAAAAACGCATTGGTCTCTGGTATGTTTCTCGACTTCTCAGATCTCAGACCAGTTATATGCTGACATTACTCTAGTGTTTCTCCGCGTGTTGGAATACTACCAGGGAATCATGTTCCTGACCACCAACCAAATCGCTGAATTTGACGTTGCTATCCCGTCCAGAATCCATCTAGCCATCAAATACGAGAGTCTCAAGAAGTCTCAAATGGAGGCTATCTTCTACAGCTTTCTTGACCCTCTGGAAGATAAGCGGCTTATTTCAGACTATGAAGAGATAAAGGAATGGTTGGATGATGTTGTCTACAAAGAACATTTCGATGGTCGCCAGATCCGCAATATGGTAACTACAGCTCTGGGTCTGGCACGTGCAGAGGCAGCCCAAGGTAAGGGAAAGAAACAATTGACGAAGAGTCATATGAAGAGGGCTTTCAAGAACATGAGTACTTTCAAGCGGGATTTCAATATCCAGATGCAGAGGTATATCGATGGACAAGAGAAGATGATCAAGTGAGGAAGATGGTTAAGTAAAGATGTACTTCGGTAGCTCCCACATTTTCAGTATTCTTTTCCGAATCATAGTCTCATTCTTCAAGTCTATCTTTGAATAGAGGCACAGCAGGCGATCGATAGTAAAGCAGTGGAACCGAGAAAAATACGGCACAGAGAACTGCATCAATAGTCGAACAGCGAGTCCTCGTTATCGCGACTATGGTCAGATACCCATTCAGCGTCATCGTTAAGCTTCCACTCGCCGAGCCTGATTTCCATGAGAAGCTCATCGTTCCAGTCGTCAATGGCAGCTTCTCTCTGCTCTTTATCCCACCACATATCCGGACCTAGATGCCGGCCATTCTGGCTTCCTGGATCATGTTTAGACTGTTGCACTCTCTCCTGAGACTCGCATCGCGCGTGCGCAAGCCAGAACGCCTCACCAGGTCTGCCAAGCCTTTGCCTGTAGACCTTCCACAACGCAGGGAACATCTCTACTCGTCGCATAGATCGGTTAGGAGCATGGCCGAGACTGTTGAACATGTGCATGTTGGTAATGACATCCGGCTGCAGCCACCGAAGCTTGGTTGCGTCAGTGCTTGGGACATCTATGTCGATGCATTTCGCAAGACCTGAAAGAAACTTCTTCGACTTCCCTTCTTCTCTGCTCGCAAGTTCCATGAGCTGAAGGTCATACATGCCACCGAGTGACACGTTAAACTGTTGGAATAAGAGCCTGGACATGTCGCGGATGTCGAAGCCCACTTTGGTAATGGTCTTTGACTCGAGGATCAGGCGAAGGGATTGGAATTCTCCTTCTTCGCCGACAGCAGAGAGGGCGGTTGTGCCAAGGCTTTTAATGTCGACCACGTAGACTTTGTTGGTTGGGAGAATCAGCAGCTGAAGGTTGATTAACTCCTCTTGATTGCTAGAGACGTCGAGATAGATTGAGGGCGGTTTGGTTGGGAGTCCATCAAGTGCCTTTAACAATCGTTTGAGGCCTTTTGGGCCCTTGATGACCTTTGTAGAAGTGCCCGTTTCCCCGTTACCAGGCTGGGGAGAAGTTTGTTGTTCCATGGCAGGCGATGGTGTAGACGGTTTGACAGATGAGTTAAAATGTGCTAAGTGGATCTGTTTCAGGACAGCAAAGGTCAGAAAGAAGGATGAATACGGAGAGTTGGGCGAGTACTGCCTGGTGGAAGAAGCGGAGTATATGACCTGTCGTTGGTCGGCCTCCCACATCATGCATGGCTGCCTGAGAATTGATGACATACGATTTTCAATTTGGAAAATAGATAGGCTTAATTATTAGCAACGCTGGTAGATGGTATTAGAAGGCGTGGCCAATTTCTTGACTTTGTACGGTATTCCCATCAAGGCTCCGATTCTCGTCCTGAGCTTGACCTTTCAAAAACACCAAATCCGGCATACGCAAATACTCCGGCCCTTCTTGTACGTCATCATCAAATTCATCATCCCTCACTCCATATTCAGCATAACTCTGCGTCGCCTGCCTTGACTTCAATGGCTGACTATCCGATGTATATGCCGTTCCAGATCCGAGACCAGTTCCTCCAGGCGTTCTGGTCCTTTTGATAAGTTTCTTCAGACCTGGAAGGCAAACGACTATTACAGCAGTCGTCATTTCTGCGGTACATAGTGTGTTTCCGGATGCGTCGTCGAGAGAGTAGTCTGCTATATGGCTAATGACGAAGCGGGTGAGGCCAACGGCTAACGTAATTGCACCCAGAGAGAAGACTCCAACGAGGGCGAGTTTCTGTTCTTTGCGGAGCATTAGATGGTTAAGCATAAAGAATGGGAAGCAGAAGACTATAAAGCATTAGCGTTGAGATTCTTGGGGTTTAAGAGGAGCTTACGTAGTAGATCTGTTGAGAAGTTCATGGACCATTGCGTAAAGAAATTGGTCATGGAATTCCATGCTGAGTCCCATTGATTTTCGATATCCCTCGGACAATTAGCCAGATGCCAGATGCTGGGTTGCACAGAACATACCAGTTAGTTGAGATGGGCCTTGCGATTAGAGTATTCAAGAGAAACGAGGTCGTTAAGCAACAAGCTAAGTATGTCGTGATCGCGTACAACGCTATCCTCAGTGATCGAAACACGTTGGGTATTAAATGCCAGTAAAAGGCCGTGATCGAGAGTTTCGGGAAATAGATTCCAATGTCGAAGCAATATTCGGCAATAAAGACACACTGGTTTCCAATATCAGTTCGCACTCCTTCCCTCGTATATTTCGACATACCTTCAAGTACGCAACGCTATGAACTCGGTCCTCGTCGTCGACGTACGTGTCTTCGTCCCCCTTGATGCGCGTCGCGGTCGCAGAAGAGATAAACCACGCCAGAGCAAATATCCAGCCTACCCACGCAAAATAGTCGGAAGCCAATAGCCTCCTCCCTTCAACATTAAGTCGAGTCCAGCATCGGAGAATAACAACGGCCAGTGCCAGGACAACCAGTAATGCTTGGACGATCTATCCAAGTCGTTAGTTTTGCTGTCCCACGAGAGCCATGGATCGGATAGAGGCCTACTATCAGTATGGTAGCATGCTGCATCTTGCAGATTGTGCGCATGGGAATAAAGAAAACAAAGGAAATAAAGAGGTGGGCGTGGAGAAACGGTTATCAACGCTGGAAAAATCCAGTGACGCGGCACAGGGTTGTGTGGCTGCATCCGGAACCAGCTTTGAGTTTACGCTATGATCTCGAGATGAGTGGCGTTGAACCTAAGTCGTCAACAGCCATTTACCTTCTGATTTTGCCCTTTGTCTTTCTTACTATTGATGACACAATTTATTGTGATGAAGTAGCACTTGTACACTTTTTTAACTGACGGTGTTTGTTATATTGCGACTTTATGGTTCTTTTGTCAACGTGGTAGTCTTATAAGACTCGCATCAATGATGTTCACTGCTGGTTCTATCGTCATTAGACTTCGAAGCTAACGCCATGCGGCTGACATTCAGGGCCAAAAAATCCCTGATCGTCGCCTGAGATGCCGCTATCCTAACGCCACCGTTCCTGATCACAAATAAATTTTCCATCTTGATTTATAAAAGCAACACTCTTGCCGCTTATATCGTCAATTAAATTCGAGTAGCGAGCGGCTAAGTTACTTGCAAGTAGTTTCGGAAAGTTCCGTGATTGTTATACGATCTAGATGTCATGTTGGATGTCACGGTGGTGTCTTCGGGATTGCTTTCGAATTTTGTGACATGTCAACTCTTAGGTCTGAATTGCTGTGATCACACCTGTGATTGGGCATGATACGGAAGAAAGACATCCTGATACTCCTATTCATATCGCGTGATGGTTATCACAATCTCTCAAGACCCATTCTGCCCTCGACGTTTTCCAGCGAGGAAGACAATGGCTCGCCAGGCTCTTCTAAGCACGACCGTCAATTTTCGGAGAGACGATCCAGAAGTGTTTCCGGTTTTTACGAGACCATAAGGCTGATGCCTCGTGACTTGGTGGCCTGTTCTGCGCCGGTAGCCGTGCGCCCGATGATAAGATTACAGGACTTGGCTTCCTGAGTATCAACGTTAGTGTATCGTCGTGATAGCTCATGATCAGCTTCTATGTGCCCAATATGTGTTGATGGCTCCTCAAGATACATATGTTCCTCTCCATTCACATTGCGGTTCAACGTATTGATAGATGATAACTGTCGAGGCCCAAGAATAGTTGAAGGCTCTACAGTATGCTGGCTGTAATTACTGTCTGGAATACTCCAGGGCAATGCCACCCTCATTATTCCATCAGAATTACGATAACCTCTTAGATAAGTAGGAACAGCAGAGTCTGTATGCCATGTCATTCGAACAGCACTCTTCCTGCATATCCCAAAGACCCGACAAAATTGCTGGGATATGTCTACCCCCGTCGGCCCCGTCGGCCCCGTCGGCTCTCCACACTACCCCAGCTACAACGGTCAGTATTCGGACGAAAAGCCAATGCCAAGGGACACATCTTCCCAATATTGTCCTCAGAGCATCTGAAAGATTGGCCCTAAGAGCATGAGAGACGAAATTATTTGGTCACTTTTTGCCAGCTTAGACCAGCATTTAGGCTAATTTATTATTGTAGCTCAAGTCTTAGGTGACAATTCTTCTGTCACCAACCTGATTGTCTTCCCGTGGGAGACATTTATTCATCCGTAGTTTACCCAAACCCTGTCAATATCCACTCCATCGGAGTCTCGATCGGAATAAGGTAACTAACGGTGTGGAGATACCGACCCGTCGGCATCTTTCGGCCCAGACAGTTGGCTGACAGCTCTTGGTAAACGCTTTTCCCCAGCTCCCCATACCCCAAAAAGATGTTACCCGCGAGCTCCATCCATAAATACACCGAGACTAGGAGCTCGATTATTCCTGTCAAGGTAGTGAATCAGGGAGGACTAGGACTTTAATAGACAAGTTCATCGTTTGTATGGAGTTTTATAAGCTTGGGGTATCCATGGACGGATATACGTCGTAGATTCGGGGCAATGATAGCGCTCAAGCTTATTGTTATGCTTGTCGGCTCGCTTGGTGAGGTATAAGTAGCATGTGCCTTACCGTTGCATGAGGTAGGAAGTCATCTCTTATCCTGCCATCTTCTTTAGTTTAGACTCTTCACGATGCTTCGGCTATTGAACGCTTTGGCCTTGGTTGGCGTTGCTTCGGCATTGCCTTCTGACTCAAAACCCACCTTCAAACCCAGCAAGGCCACAGCAAATCTCCCATACCGAAACTCCTCACTATGCGTCGAATCCCGTGTCGACGACCTTCTCTCCCGCATGACGGTAGAAGAAAAGGCCGGTCAAATGTTCCAAACGCTCTTATTCTCCGGCCCCAACGGAACTCTTGAGCAAGCCAACCCAGAGATGAACAGCTCGGAATTCATGATCGGAACACAGCTCATGACCCATTTTAATCTGGCTATTCAGATTGAAGACGTCAAGGAAGCTGCCAAGTTCACGAACAGAGTTCAGCAACGGGCTTTGGAGACAAGACTTGGTATTCCTGTAACTATCTCGACTGATCCGCGCCATGCTTTCACGGATGATATTCGTACGGGATTCCAAGCTGGTGGTTTTTCGCAGTGGCCTGAGACTGTAGGACTTGCAGCTCTACGCTCAGCTGAGACTGTGCAGCGCTTTGCGGAGATTGCACGAGAGGAATATCTCGCCGTCGGTATTCGCGCTGCTCTTCATCCTCAAGTGGATCTTGCTACTGAACCCCGCTGGCCTCGCAACCGCAACGGTTTCGGTGAAGATGCCAACCTGACTGCTACACTACTGAGCTCTTACATCAAGGGTTTCCAGGGTGAAGTCTTTGGTCGTCGTTCCGTTTCTACAGTGACGAAGCACTTCCCAGGTGCAGGTTCGGCTGCGCATGGTCACGATGCGCATAATGCATTCGGCATGAACTCTACTTATCCCGGCGACAATTTTGACTACCATCTCATTCCCTTCAAGGCAGCTATCGAGGTCGGTGCCAGACAGATGATGCCTTACTACAGCCGTCCTGTCGGAACGGAATATGAGGCTGTTGGCTTCTCTTTCAACAAGGCCATCGTTACTGGTCTTCTCAAGGAGACTCTCGGGTTTGAAGGCATCGTGTTGACTGATTGGGGTCTTGTTACGGATACCACCGTTCAGGGCAAGAAGTGGGAGGCCAAGGCTTGGGGTGTTGAGAGTCTTACTGAACTCCAGAGGGTTGAGAGGGTTATTGACTCTGGCTGTGATCAATTCGGTGGTGAGACTCGACCTGAGCTTGTGGTTGAGCTTGTCAAGAAGGGTGTCATATCTGAAGATCGCATCGATACCTCCGTCCGCAAACTTCTGCGCGAGAAATTCCTTCTTGGTCTTTTCGACAATCCCTTCGTGGATCCCGAAGAAGCCACAGCCGTCGTGGGCAACCCATACTTCCGCCGCATGGGCATGGAAGTTCAACGAAAGTCTTACACTCTTCTCACTAACAAAAACAATATCCTTCCCCTACGCGACCTCTCCAAGAAGACCAAGATCTACGTCGAAGGATTCAACAGCACATTCATCAAAGACCGTGGCTTCCAAGTAGTAACCAACTACAAAAAGGCAGACTACGCCATCCTGCGTCTCAAAGCCCCAAGTGCACCCGCCGACCCCATCGAAAAAGGCACCGATCTCGAATCCGGAAGTTTAGAATACAACAAGAAAGAAAAAGCCCGTCAAGCCAAAATCTTCAAGGCTGTCCCTACCATCGTCGACATCAACTTTAACCGTCCAGCCGCTGTACCTGAAGTAGCAGAGTACGCTGCTGCTTTGTTTGCTAGTTATGGAAGTAGCACAGAGGCATTTTTGGATGTGGTGTTTAATGTGGATGGGGCTCAGCCAGAGGGGAAGTTGCCTTTTGATTTGCCGAGGAGTGATGAGGCTGTTGAGAAGAATTTCGAAGATGTGCCTTTTGATACGGAGGATCCTGTTTTTAAGTTTGGACATGGACTTAGATACGAGTCTGTTTGTGCTTAGATGGCAGAGCGATGAAGAAGGAAGCTTTCGTCAAGGTGGAGGCTGGGACCGGATTATCGGATTGTATACTCACTTCAACTTGTACATATCGCCCAATTTATATCTAACAAGTGATACTCATCTAATTCGACAGCGGTGAACGTTTCGCTTCCAATGACCTGCTGTTCCTTTATCTTATCTGCATCTTCTTGGCATATTCATCTGATAGCCTCGGTTCGGGAAGCGGCAAGTCCACGTCTAAAAGGTGGGCTGCGCCAAACCGTTGGTCCGATGCAACGCTAATGAGATCAGCACTTTGCAGACTGCAAGGTGAGTTTATCGGTGACTGCCGTTTACTGAATATGAGTGGCAAAGAGTTTGTAGTGTATTGGACATGTATCAATCTTTCAGATCAGTTGAGGGTGTTTCTGCCCTCCACCAAATTATAGCCATCTTCCAACTCTATCAAACTCAAACTTAATATGAGCCATTAATAACTTCAGTGAATCAGCACTGTACTGTAGGGCAGTACATCGCCTAAACCCACCTAATCTCAAGCTCTGAAAATCTGGGGTTCGAGTGGGGAACCCTGCCCAACTCTAAAAAGAGAAATTCCGCGAACCACAAGATGATCTCATACTGGGGCAGAACCTGCTAGACCCAGCCACCAACATCCAACTTTCTGGTGACGAAAAAACCCATATTGAGCCATTTTCCATCGCATCATTCTCGTACGTTGGATCCACCAATCTACAACATTTATCTACCGCTAGAGGCTTTGTCAATTCTTCTTCATCAATCGCGAGTCATTGTCAAGCTAGCACAATGGCCGACGACGCTGACAAGAGCCTCCACTTGCATTACATCGCCCCCGCATCATCATGGTCCGAGGCTCTCCCAATCGGCAATGGTCGGCTAGGAGCCATGGTCTACGGACGAACGTCCACTGAATTCTTACAACTCAATGAGGACTCAGTATGGTACGGTGGACCACAGGACAGGACGCCTCGCGATGCTTATAGCAATCTAGCCACTCTGCGCCAACTCATCAGAGATGAAAAGCATAAGGATGCAGAATCTCTTGTCCGCGAAGCTTTCTTCGCGACGCCAGCAAGCCAGCGACACTATGAGCCGTTAGGTCAGTGCACCATTGAATTTGGTCATGATGAGAAGGATGTGACCAATTACAAGCGATGGCTCGACTTGGAGAGGTCGCAGTGTACGACAAAGTATGAGCATAAGGGTGTGACGTATCGCCGCGATGCCATTGCCAGTTTCCCGAATAATGTCCTGGCTATTCGGGTTCAGGCTTCAGAACCTACGCGCTTCGTTATTCGGTTGAATCGGCAGAGTGAGGTTGAAGGCGAGACGAATGAGTTTCTTGACAGTATCCGCGCACAGGATAATTACATTATTCTGCAAGCGACACCCGGTGGAAAGAACAGCAACAGATTGGCTCTCGCTCTCGGTGTCTCTTGCAAACCAGGCGATGGCGAGTTCAAGGTGACTGGAAACAGTCTCATTATCACAGCGACAGAATGCGTCATTGCCATGGGCGCTCATACGACTTATCGGTCATACAACCCCGACGCATCAGCACTCCGAGATATCAAGTCCGCACTTTCAGAACCTTGGGACACATTAGTCACCCGTCATCGTCAAGACTACACGAAACTCTTTGGCAAAACTTCTCTTCGAATGTGGCCAGACGCAAGCAACACCCCCACAAACGAAAGAGTCCAGAACAACCGAGATCCAGGTTTAATAGCGCTATATCACAACTACAGTCGCTACCTCCTCATATCGTCAAGTCGCAAATCTGCAAAGGCCCTCCCCGCGACATTGCAGGGAATATGGAATCCTTCGTTCGCACCACCGTGGGGATCAAAGTTCACTATCAACATCAACCTCCAGATGAACTACTGGCCAGCAGCTTCATGCAACCTCATCGAATGCGCGAGTCCTCTAATTGATCTTCTGGAACGCATGGCTGAGAAGGGAAAGAGGACGGCAAAGATGATGTATAACTGCAGAGGCTGGTGCGCGCATCATAACACGGATATTTTCGCGGATACAGATCCTCAAGATCGATGGATGCCTGCTACGCTTTGGCCTCTTGGTGGTGTTTGGCTGTGTATTGATGTGATCAAGATGTTGATCTATCAGTATGATCACATGCTTCATATTCGCATTGCGCCTATACTGGAGGGATGTGTTCAGTTTCTTCTTGACTTTCTCATTCCATCTGCTTGTGGAAAGTATTTAGTTACAAGCCCTTCTTTATCACCCGAGAATTCGTTTATTACCGAGTCTGGAGAAACCGGAACATTCTGTGAAGGGTCGGTCATGGACATGACGATCGTGCGCATTGCGTTGGAGAGTTTCATCTGGAGTATCAGTATTCTCAACAAAGAGAATCCTCTCCAGAAAGATGTCATGGCTACTCTGGGCAAACTCCCACCATTCCGCATCAACAAGTCCGGTGTGATACAAGAGTGGGGCCTGAAGGACTACAAAGAAGCCGAGCCAGGCCATCGCCACGTCTCCCATCTTTTCGGACTCTTCCCTGATGATTTTATCAGCTTGGACTCGAATCCAGCGCTGGTAGAAGCTGCACGAAAGACCCTGGCCAGAAGAGCCGAGCACGGAGGAGGCCACACGGGCTGGAGTAGAGCATGGCTTCTAAACCTCTACTCCCGCTTACGTGAATCACAAAAATGCGAAGAACACATGGATCTCCTCCTCAGCAAATCAACATTACCAAATCTGCTCTGCGATCATCCTCCATTCCAAATAGACGGCAACTTCGGAGGCTGTGCCGGAATCACAGAATGTTTAGTCCAATCCAATCTGCGACCTGGCGAGACTTCCCAAGTAGTCATGATACATCTACTACCAAGCTTACCCTCTTCGTGGAAGAATGGAAAATTGAGTAATATTAGAGTCATGGGCGGTTGGTTAGTTTCTCTAGAGTGGCGAGACGGGGAGTTGGTTGAGCCGTTGTTGGTGGAGTCTACTGTGAATCATGCTCCGGATGCACTTGTTGTGTTTCCGAATGGCAGGAAAGTACCGGTGGCTAAGAAGAGGGGGCAGCAGAAGATTCCGTTTAGGATGCATCGAAGGATCTCGACTGTTTGAGTCCATCTCTTTACAAGGCGTTGGCTGTACATTAGCTTCTTATCCTGGCTTCGCACATGCTGCAGGTCAGCGAGTTCTAGCTCTATCATCATGTTTACAACAACTCTATGGCACAGGTAGTATGTCTCTTAGGTAGACTTTCACCTTTCGATGCTCATATTAATTGGCAATAGCGTGCTCAACGAATGAAAAAAATGGGCCCAGCCTTCACTGCATGTTTAACCTCGCTCAACTGGTTCATGGCACCCAAACGAATTACAAAAAGTGCAGGCGTTTGATGGGCAAAGTTGCCGTACGTTAGCTTCTTGTTCTGGCTCGCATACGTCAGGCCAGCAAGTTCTCGCTCTATCATCAATTTTACAACACATTTTTCTCTCTTGGACTTCCACTTTTTGATGCTCACTTTTAAGTGGCTACAGCAGGCTTGAAAGACCCGAACAGGCGACACGTGACCGTTAGTGCAGAGGAGTGCTCCTCGACGAATCACAAAAAGTGCCATCAAGCCCATCAGGCTAACCCATTACGGCAAAGCCTACAAACAATCCCTTGGGCTGTAACTCGTTACAACTGGGCACACGTCTTGTGGCTGAGACTTGATACATGATGCAGTCTTCCCAGCCTGATTTTATTTTTTTCTTCTCTTTCACATCCTCATCCGTTTGTCTCCAGATATCTTCTGTGAGTACTTTGCCCATAGCACCAGCTGCCAGTAGAGAGCTTCTCTCTGGCATGACAGCAGACATTTAATCTACGTCTTTATTCCACACGAGTAAGCACATACACCACATTTCTTTGGAATAGGAACGCATGGATTATTAACTCTTGAACTATTACAGATTGTTTTCGGGGGGAATATTCCCACCAGTTACCTTTTTCTTTGTTAGTTGAAAGCGCCGGGACACCGGCGCTTCCAACATACAAAGCGACCACCATGATCATCACTTAGAGCATTGTGCGTTTGGCAACTGTAGCCTCTGTTGGCATCTCTATACAGTACCCTTCTATACAGCCGTTCTAGATGATTGGGCTGAGACTCCCGAACCGTGTAGCGTTTTGGCCCAAACCGGGTCAGATGTTACCGACTGCGAATTCTCTCCTGAAACTCTCGACGGTGACGACTCCTCTCTCGACTTTTTATCTTTTTATCCCGATCTTGCTGCTGCTGCTCCAACACCCTCCAATTCTTTGCTCTCTTGGGGTGATTCTCAATCATTCTCGCCCGAAACGGTCTCCATCAATTCAAGCTCCCCTTCAACACAGAGGAATTCCAGCCACTCTGTGACTCCACCACAAGTTCAGGCACGCTATGTCTGTGAGTTGTGCAGAGCGGCTTTCGATCGCATAATTCCCCTCGCGTAAGACTCTTGTACCTTGTGTCCACCGGACTCTTCGAGACTGACCTTCCAACGTAGGGAACATTACAAGGATTTCCACTGCCCCACCGTTGATGGCAAACCGACATACTATTGTGGAAAATGTCCAGAATGTCCCAAGTATGTCTTCACGCGTCACCACGAATTTATACGACATCTCAGATCGAAGAGACATCTTGACGAGAACTATCTCTGCCGCTGTGGCTCCAAGTTCCCGCGACCAGAAAAGTTTAGAAAACACGTTCAGAAAGGGGAATGCCAAGGTTTCAATGCATACGCCTGCCTCTGCGGGTACTCAGTTCTATCATACACAGATGCAGTAGCATTGGTGTCTATTGGTGGACATATACACAAATGTGACGATCCGCGTCCAAGGGGCCGTCCAAAGAATTCATCTACAGCAGCCAGCAACTAAGAAGAGGAAAAGACACGAGCAGACATGCTGAGCAGGGTTAGCGATAGCCCGCGATTGGCCCGTGATAGGGACATCACTCATGCATGTTAGAGTCGGTGTTACGATCGGTTTGTACAGGGTGTCGGCATTGGTCACAGTACCAGACCAGCATGTGATTCGTTGAATGATGACTCTCAGAAATTGGACCTCGATGCTTCGCCTGCCAGCGGGTAAAGCTCCCTTGACGGAGCGAGAGGTCGAGGAGACCCAGGCAAGCTACTCGCCAATGACTGAACGACAACTATCTCAGGAGCCAGAGAGACCCAGGGCCAGGAGGTCCTGCCTGTTCGATTAATACACATTATGGTTATGGAGGATATCGAGTTTGTTCTTTTCTTTTTCCTTTTGTATAGACCTTCCGTCAAGATCTCCCAGAGATCCAGCAAGGTTGTTCATGTTGTTGTTTTTTATACGTGCCCTGGGTATCCGCCTTGGGAGCACCCTGCCACTAGTCGGGCAACTGACCGTAGGTGGGTCACCAAGTGTTAATACCCTTGGCAGGCTTCGGCTGTGCGGCGTGCAACTTCTTTTATGCGAACCTTCCGTCAAGATCTCCCAGAGATCCAGTAAGGTTGTTTATGTTGTTGTTATCTGTACGTGCCCTGGGTGTCCGCCTTGGGAGCACCCTGCCACTAGTCGGGCAACTGACCGTAGGTGGGTCACCAAGTATTGATGCCCTTGGCAGTCTTCGGCCGTGCGGCGTGCAACTTCTTTTATGCGAACCTTCCGTCAAAATCTCCTAGAGATCCAGTAAGGTTACAAAGAAATTGGAAATTATATCTACTCTTCAATATTACTTTCAAGCATTTTCAGCTGTTCCTCCGCAGAAATGATGTCGTCCCTAATCTTGTAGTAGGGTGACGATCCGACGGTAACATACTTCGCCCATTTCTCGAGATTTTTAATCTGCTTACCTAGCCTTTTCTTCTCCAGCTTCACTCCTTGTTTCATCTCACGCGTCTCCCTATTCTGACGGACATCCCGTAGTTTGACCTGGAGCTTTTGTACCAAGTCCTCTGCCTCTAGAATCAGACTTGGCAAAGATAGCAATCCCTCACGTAGGATTTTGTATCGTTTATCGAATATACGTAGATCGTTGTCATAATAGTTGAAAGGGCCAGGTCGAGGGCTCAGATGGTAAGCGGCGTAAAGTGAATATCCGCTCCAGTTCTTCAATACCGGCTTGAATTTGTTGTTTGTTCGTTGCAAAAAGACTATCTCGCGCTCTTTGATGGCGATGAATTCTAGTAAAGCGTCTTCGCCATCAACCTCGACCTCTTGCTCTTTGGCTGCCAGATAATCTTCCACCTTTGACCTTGTTACCGGTGCGACTTTTTGGCGAATTGTTTCATCGCCATTGATGAGATGTAATAGTTCGAAGAAACAAAATTCATTTGCGTCCACTTCAACAGGTTGTATGGATACTCCAAAGCCCGCGATTGGTGGCCCGCTAGAAAGTAGCACGTTAATATCGTGAATGCCTTCCAAACACCGGTCGTCATCAACCTCTTGATCTTCATCTTGAGACATCGCATATGCCCTTTCTTGCCTGACCCGCCTTCGGCGAGATCTTTGTCGGAGTCGGTCAGACTCTTGTTGGCGGGTTGTTTTCTGTCTAGGCTTCTTGCAGGCGCTGCCGGCGACAACTATATCCCCTTGCGAATTCTCCATTTTGTCCTTCTTTTCTTGTACGATCGCTCCAGTGCGGTAGATCACTACTCGGAGATCATTCCAAGTAGTGCTCAAAACAGTCCTGCCTGAAAGTCGACGTATTGCACGAGCTCTGTTGGACTTGACCTGGGGAGATAAGTTGTCAAAGTTGTAGGATCTGGCTTCGTAGGTGATATCTGAGTCGGCATCGTGGCCTTTGTGAGTGACAGAATAGATGTTTGCATGTTCAGTCGACCCAGTCTGCTTTCCGATGACCCAGTCGTTGTCAAAAACTGTCCCCTCGAGGATCATAGCGTTGGATTGATCCAGGGTTTCAGGCTGCTCATTCGCATCCAAACCATTATGTTGGTCCATGTTGCAGGAAGCGATATCTCAATATGCCTTCGCTTTCATTTCTGCCAGAGGTGGGGATGTCTTGTAAGCTCACGACCCGTCAGCCCGTGTGCTGACTGATGAATATTGGACCAACCACACTCCTCCACATTTCATATGCCTCGAGGAGGGCACTTTTTCTCAACCAATCGTTCTGCTGACTCCGCATGTCGCTATACAAGGATCTCCAGCTTCAATGCTTTACCTCTATTAAGCCTGCACCGTACCTCGAACTCTTGGGACTCAATGTCTAAAGTATAAGGTATTGTTTACTGTTAAATAAAGTAAAATAATTTTAATTATGCGCGAGATATTTGGGGGGTTTCAACTCCCTTAGCTAAAAATACCGGATTGTCCTTCTGTCCGATTCTTGTCTCTGATAAGTTATCGTGTGTTGATGTCCTTCGCGAGTGTGGTTAAGAAAATTCTTAGAGTCTAGGCGAGGAGTTACACTATATCTCAGAAAAGTGCCAGAGATATGCATTGACAAAAAGCAATGGAGCCCTCTTTGTAGAGAGGTGGCTTTCTTCAATCTATGAGAGGACAGTTCCACAGTTGAGAATTCTATTTCAGATCACACTAAGCGTTTGAAGAGCAGTTTGCTGTACATGAACTCCTTATTCGAGCTGCACGCATATTGCAGGCCAGCGAGTTTTCATTTAGCACAAGTTTACTACGCCTTATGATCAGCACTAGCTTCATGTATGTCGTCCATCTCTCTTGTTGTAGCTAGACTTGATCCTTCTATCGACAAGGTTTTGATTTCCATCAGCCTTAATCTTAACCGAGACTACCCGACGCTTCAAGACCCTGGACGCGTCCCAATGATGATTAACGCGTCTGACGCGCTAGTAACCCCTACAGGTCTAGACAACATTGGCGCAGGGACTTTTACAGTTGGGCTTATTCTTTGTTTGCCATGTGCTTAGACATGCATTATTCATTCCCGCGAAGGAACAATATGGCACGATTATGTTTGCCTTTGCCATAGTGATGCATTAGACAATAAATTGTGTAGTGAGATGGACTGCATGCAGAAACAGCCATGTGCTGGTCTATGGTACTCTAGCGAATGGCCTCGACGGATGATTTCTTCCTGTGATGAATCGGATAATTGTTGGTTAGATAATTAGATTAGATAGACTGCAGACGCGAGTGCTTTTCCGCAGGACGTGGTCATCTTGACGGAGGCTGAGTGCTGGGTAAGGTGTGGTGATGTCATTTCGAGTATATCTTATCAGACCATGATTATCGGTGCTATCGCTATCGGATAAGCTTATCAGACACCAATCTTATCAGTTGAATCTTCAGACTCGTGAAGCTTCGTTGCAAAGCTACCCTACAAAGACATTTCATTCAAGGTAAAGAATATTTTACAGCCACCTACGTGCGGTTAAATGAGTACATACCGCCTTTTACTTGCATTTTGATTATCCAAATTGGTAAAAAATTTCCCACTGTAATTATCTAGAACGGGATTTCACTAATACTCTTCTGTTCAGAAGGATTCCCTATTGCGTTGTAGTGGTTGCAATAATCAGTCCAACCTACTGCACATGCAGTCAAGATCCTCAGAGCTCAGCCTCAGCCACACAGAAAAGAGGCTGAGCAAGACTCATGCGACGTTGCAGCCATTAGCTCAATTGATTCAGGCAATGTTTATTATTAGATTGATCATTATCACGTACAAACACCCGACTTTCTTTTGGGGGCGGTCAGTCCGAATGCGCGAACAGCTAACTCGAAATCACATAGTAGCATAACCTTGAGAGTCGCATTCTGGTCCAAGCTATTTCGTATGGTAACAGAAGGCCCAAGCTAAGGTAGCAGCAACATGGACAGGCCGCAAGAATGGGTTGGAGCGCGCGCGCAGGAACACGGGACTGTCCCACCTTCGGCTCCGGGCTAGCTTCTCTCGGCGTCCACGAAATGACGTCCAGGCCCGCTTCTAGGTCTCCACGCCAAGACTTGCACTCCCGGATTGGCTTGGCTCGGCAGTTTTTTGTTGAGTCTGTGTTCCCTTCCATTTCTGCTCTAGAAAAGAGGCGGGAAATGAGGGTGAACATGGCGGTGTCAAAGTGTCAGAGCAACAAATTACCATAATGCATATCCGTATGGCATTCTCATCACCTACCTCCAAAGATCTACATCTCCATTTCGGTTCATCGGTCTCTTTACTCTCATGGTAGTTACACGAGGTTCAACGCACAATGTCGTCACTTCCGTTAATTGAATCAGCTGATCCCGGTCTAAATTCACCCGCCAAGCTAAAGACAGTCAAGATCCAAGGTCGAACCTGTCGCTGTGAAATCATCGACTCTGGGAACTTTCTTGAAAAGAACAGAAAACTCCCGCAGCCCTGCAGGAACATTAACATCCAGATGACCTAGTGGGGCCGAAAGGGGACGGGTAAGGCCACCAAGTGGCGCCGAGAACGAGGTCAGACAGGATCACCCACAGTCTAGCCCAGTTTATGCTAATTATAACTCGTGAATACGAGGCTAAGCATAATATTAAGCCAACAACCCTTGTAATTAATGAACAGCACAAGTCGGATGATTCGGCAGGCACTAGACTACCTTGACTTGTCAAAGCAACATGCCATGTCATCACCCCGCAAAAATCACCAGGTTGAATGAATTTCTCCGGACTACACGATGGATCAATCTTCGTATCGGTCTTATGAAGGCACAGCTAGTGGTGCACTAAGCCTCGTATCAACACAACAGCCTTGTCAGGTAAGCATCTGATTTCAGAGATAAAAGGCATTCAATCTCCCGACATTTTCAATTCAAATCATCTCATCTCATCTCATCAATCACTCTCATCTCTCAACTCAATCAATCAACTACAACTTCTCTCTCCACCTCACAACCAAAACAAACCATCAAAATGAAGTTCTCCGCTGTCACCGCTCTCGCTGCCCTCACCGGCTCTGCTGTCGCCGCCAACAAGGCCGTCGTCATCAACGACTGTGCCACCAACATCTACGTCCAGTCCGTCCCCTTCAACGGCGGTGCTCCCGGCCCCTTGACCACCCTCAAGCCCGGCCAGCGATTCTCCGAGGACCTCCGCGCCTCCGGCTCCACCGTCAAGATCGCCGACACCCGCACCTTGACCAAGCCTCTCTTCTTCGGCTACTCCTCCGACGCCAACAACGTCTACTACGAGCTCAACACCCAGTTCGGCAACCCCTTCGCCAACAAGCACAACATCCTCAACCCTGGTGATGGCTGCAAGAAGTTCGACTGCAAGGCCGGTGACGCCAACTGCTACAGCACCCCCAGCAGCCCCAAGAACTACGGCTGCCCCAACCCTGTTACTCTCTACACCAAGATCTGCGCCAAGTAAACGCAGCTACGACAAGATGATCCTGCTCCTCATGCATGGGAGTCATGACTTAATCGCACTATAATCTTTCGGTATATATATAATTATTAGACGTCCGCCTAGAGGTGGCTTGCTGTACATTGCAATACAAGCACATATTTCACACACATCGTTCATAAAACGTGAAATGCATGACCCTTGGTGAAACGCTTCTGAGTCTTTAAACTCATGTCACTTTGAATAGATCACAAAAGCAAGGTCATAACAGCTAAAATACCATAACAGTTCTGACTGGGCTATCTTAATCTCGTTGAAGTTGAGTCGCCAGTGTGTTATTCATGCGTGAATTTAAAAGACTTGCCTCTTGAGAAGACTTGAATAGAATTCAAGCCAGTTGCGGCTGCTCCTTGCCTCATTAGAATTGAGACATAGCTTACGTTCTTTACCCATGTAGTAAAAGCATACTAAGGTTAAAGGTTATGATATGTTGGAAGCTTGGATGTCTCTTATATTTATGCTTGTTTCAACCCTGGCCCAAAATACTGTTGGGTCAATATCCAGCGCTTCACTTTTGAAAGCGAAGAAATCAACCATCTTTAAACTAATAAGTCTTAATATCTGTGCAGATTGGATCTAATTTGAAGCGTTCCCCTATACCAATTAACCTATAGCAGGCTAGAGCTGCCGTGGCTATGTGATATCTTAAACTCAATGCTGTCCTTTCTGAGCTACAATTGCGACTCCCGCTATAGGTAGTCAAAAGATACTTCAATTTCGGTTGATGTCGAGACTTCTCAGATCTATTGCTTCTTTATGCTGTAGGCTCATCTGATGGAGTATGTCATGTTAGATAGTGACAATACGCTGCCTGTTGGTAATAGTCGGGTCTCTTGCAATATTAGGCATAGCATGGGAAGCCACCAGTAAAAGAGCTTGGATTAAAGTCTCAGATTCAAGAAACATACTGCCGACGCACAAACTATTGTACAAGAGCTTAAACAGGTGCCGGCTTGGTAGGATCATATCTCGGGGAAAGCATGGCCACAGACTACCATAATGAAACAAGCTGTCGGAAACCGGCCTCAACCTGATACAATTGTGGAGCGCGTATTAAAGATCTCATGTATCGTAGACCGGATGTTCGTACACGACTCGGCCGCGGCGCCAAATGAGGGAGGTTTTAAAGGCATTCGTAGACGTACTTCTGTGATAATATCCCAAGACGCTGGAAATTGTATTACCTTGAGAGGAGGAAGAAGGCACAGACAATCACTAGCTGCTTTCTCCTCGGGCCTCTTCCTCGACCGACGTGGCAGATCATGCGGACAGAGGGTAGTCACTCGCTTCGATAGCGGTCAAGCTGTACGCAATAGATAGACGAAAGAAGTTGCATATATGAACACCAGTAAGTCGCATCGTCGTGTCGTTGCAAATGAGGTTGAAGTTGCTCAGATAGATGAAGGCCTCAAAATGCAGCATCTCCATGCTCATGAGACCAAGGAGTGAACGAATCACGGTCCAAAAAAGACTCACCGACGGTAAAGTTATCTCAAGCTATCAATCAATTGATAGCATGTGCCTCATTTGCCCAATTTCGTTAGTCACTAGTCGGTGCAGCGAACAGTCTAGAACACCTTAAAAAAAGGCGAAGCCGAAAATGATACGACATGACTCGGGAAGGCTTAGCATCTGTATGCATGTCGACCTTTTTGTTTGGAAGGGTTCGAGAAATGTCTCACATGACCGTCTTCCGGAGGTCGAGTTCTTATCGCTTTTCCATCTAACCACCATTTGAATAGGGCTGTGAGAGCGATAAAGGTTGATCCTGGTGGCTAGCGAATGAGTAAGCGGTTGGTATAGTAATCTAACCGTTGCTGTTGATTGGCATTTTGTTACTGAAGGCCGGTATGCAATGTTCAAACCGGCATTGGACCGTCATTATTACCCCACACTCCACGGTGATGCGGCTCGTAGAATTCCGGCCCGGACATGTAATGGTGACAGCCAAGATTTAGTTGACGGCGGGGTAAAAGAGTGCAGTAGGATCCCAAGCGAGCCGTCTCAGCGTTCTTCGAGAACAAGACCAGAAGATATCAGAATGCCACGTCGATGATCTAGAAAAAGTCCAAATGCCGTGTCAATGATCACGCTGACGCCCATTCCGCCCTTGCTCGACAATTCACAGGGCAATGGTTGGTGATAGATAACAATAATACCCCGCTCGCAAGCGGCTGGGATTTACCGCATGCCGATCAAGGTTGCGTCACGATACCGGGGCACCGAACATCGGGGCACGGACTCGAAAGTCCGGTATCTCTTGTCAAGCGAAATGCGGAGATAAAGAACATCAAGATGCGGGGAAAGATAATCCTGTCCTAGAGCATGATAGGAAATAGTAATACAACTACCGCGGATGGGTGCACTATCAGGTGGTGCGTCAACACAAGATGGGACATGCATGATATCGATGTGACCCGGGGTTGACGGCATGGAACCGTTCGAGAACGGAACAAACTCCATGGTCCACTTGGCGTCCCCGTCCAATCTTGTCTTGCAATCTTTATTTTGTCGCCGGAAACTAGAGTACGATTCCTTATCACCCGATCACATGACCGGTTGCTTAGCGGTAATCCGCCTATCTTTGGTCTCGTCTGTGGCGTTTACCATGAGGACAATCGTCAGCTGGTCAAGTGCCAATGACACGCGTATGAATATATAGATATGACCTTTCCATCCCCGCTAGAAAAATTAAAGTGCTCAGTCCAAACTATCTTCACTCATCACACAACAAGCAAACATGCTGACACTTGGTGCTCTCGTGCTCTTCGCCATAGCGGCTGCCATCGCTCTCATCGCAAAGAAGGCACTGTCTAAACCCCAAAAGGAAAGCCTTATCTCAAGAGCTATCCCCGCCGCGGCACCCCTCACACAACCTCTACCCTCAACATGGTACAAGTCTGACGACATTTATGAACTTGAACGACGAGCCATCTTCTCCAAGAAATGGATTCTGCTTACTCACAAGATGCGCTTCGAGCAGACTGGCTCATGGATCCGCTATGCTGAAGCTGGTTTTGATTTCTTCCTTATCCGCAACGCTGAGGGTGCCATCCGAGGTTTCCACAACATCTGCCGTCACCGAGCTTTCCCTGTCGTTGTCAAGGACAATGGTCAGAACAACGTCCTGTCTTGCAAGTACCACGGCTGGTCCTACGGTATGAACGGACAGCTTGCCAAGGCTCCTCTGTACCAAGATCTTCCTGGCTTCGACCGATCCAAGAACGGTCTTTTCCCTCTTCACGTTCACGTTGATGACAAGGGTTTCGTCTGGATCAACATGGATGCTAAGACCCAGCCTGAGATTGCCTGGAATGAGAGCACTGCTCGCTACGGCTCTTTCAACCTTGAGGATTACAAGTTCGACCATGTCAAGCAGGACACTAGCAGCTTCAACTGGAAGACTCTTGCCGACAAGACCAACGCCAACAGCAACGCTGCTACTGAGGTTCAAGAGAAGGGTACCGACCTCGTCAGCGATTTCTACTTCCCCAACGCCGCCATGACTATCTCGTAAGTATTCATCTCAGATCGATCTTGCAAACAAATACTAACCATCACAGCCCCCACTTCTTCTTCCTCTTGAGATGCGTCCCCACATCCGCCACCAAGTCTCAACTCCAATACGAAGTCTACCGCCACAAGAACGCCAGCAACGACGACTTCAGCAAGGTCGAGGAGATCCTCCAGCAAACCGCCAGCGAACACGAGGCCCCCGCCGAGAAGAACCTCCGTGCGGGCGTCCTCGTCGACCAGACCCCCCTCCAGTTCCAGAACCAAGTGTACCAACTAGTCGAGCACCACCGCAAGCTGGAGGGTATCGCCGGTCGCGAAATCCGACCTGCTCAGCAAATCCTCGACAAGTCAGCCACCAAGACCGAGCAAGACGAGAGTCTCTTCTCTTCCTGCTCTGGTCTCTCTTGTGATAAGATTGGAAAGGATCTTTCATGGTAAATATGGGAGTTTGTAAAATAGAAAGTCAAAGTCAAAGGCGTATTGAAAGCATGTTGGTCTAGCATACTGGGGTTTACAGACGGCATAGAAGTGTTTTTGAGTTTTAATGGGGAACATCTGCTGGATGAGAACCCGAGTTTAATAGTATACTATTGACAGCAATTTATGATGTTTATGAGCATCTGTATCTGTTCCATATCTGACTGTCTTGTGCTTTTATCGACTGGATGAGTAAATCTGTAACAATGAGTAGAAACGCATGCGATCGCGTGCCCTTAATATGCAAGAGAGTATAGTCCGTGGCCAGCCAAAGGAACAATGTGTTGTGGTATTAATTCAGTTTCCTTCCGACTACCTCGACTATCATCAATCATTACCAAATTCCGTCCTACCAACCAAGCCTCAGTCCTTATCCTTGTCCTTTTTGGAGAAAGACCACGATTTCGACTTCGATTTCAAATTAGAAAAGAAACCTCCCTTCTTCTTCTCATCCTCATGCCTCTCCATCTCCCTCTCCGTATCAAGCTGAGTCGTATTCTGGTCCATGACATTCTGCGCGAAATTGACCGTATTCGGCTTCTCCTGTCCTCCTGCATCAATTTCTTGCTGCTCCTGTTGTTGAGCTTGCTCGTCACCCTCGAATAAGTCCATGATCTTTCCTGGGCCGAAAATTCTTTCGTAGACAGCCGCTGTTGTACCAAAGTCTTTGTGGCCGCCAACCTTAATGGCGTCCAGGAGTTGGAGGACGTATGTTTGGCAGTTGTTTGTGATGAGGTTGTATGTTGGTTGTCTTTCTCTGATGCTTTGGATGACGGATTCGCCTGTGAGAAGTCTTAGTATGAGAGAAGTCGGAATCGGGAATGAGATGCTTACCGGCTCTTCTCAATGCATCGTCGTTGAATCGCGTCTGGCCGACTTCAAAGGTGCGCCACTCATCTGGATCAACCTTTGCATTCGTATAAATCACATCGAAATTCTCATCCTGTAGAACCATAAGTTGTTGTCCTCTCCAGTAACTCACAGTCAAACTCACCATCCACAGCTGATGAGCATAGTCACCAACCAGCACAGCCCAATGTTGCGTAGGATCCGGATACTTATTAATCTTCTCAGTGATCATTTTCCCCAAACCAGTCTCCTCCGCAAACCACTTCCCTGCGAAACCACCAACAGGATGCCATCCAACTTCAACCGGTCTCGGCGGTCCATTGACGATAGGTTCCGTGACAGGGACAATGTTGGGCTGACCACCAAGACCCACAGCGTGCTTGAGAGCTAATTCGCCTTTATTCAAGCTCTTTTTCCTGCCGATCAGTCAGTATTTGAACCACGGAGGATGTAGCGTCAAGGTTGATTAAGAATGACGTTATGCAGAAATAGCGCATACATGAAGTCTCCCATCTTGTCCCTCTTCCGTTCCCGTTCTTCCTCTGAATCACCCATAACGCCTGAAAGATAGCAATAGTGAGCGTAGTGCTGATGGAGTCGAAAGTTTAATTGATGAGAGAGGGAAAGGTGCCGAGGTTTTTAGTGAGGCCTCGCACTGTCAGCTCAGCTGATTCACGTGAGGTGAGGCTGCGCCTTCACCTTGGCGCTTGTTCATTATCGGCAGTCACTTTCCGGCTAAACCAATCAACGCCAAGATTTAGTGTCACAATAAATTCAAGGTCAAGAAAAATTGTTATAAAATTGGGGCATATACGATGGGACCTATAGCTTGGTATGCAATTTCTGTAGTAACTAAATAATCACCATGAAAGTGTGAATAGTGGGTTGTCATACATGATCAACAGCAACAACAGCAATCATCGCAGCAATCATCATCCCGACCTCTGTCGTAATAACCTCTGCGATAACCATTCACCGCACCATTATTATATGCCTGCCTTCGAGCTGCGTATTGCATCTGCGGGTTGGGTCAATAGGCACCTGCACGATAGCCTCTGGGGTAATATGCCGCTTGGGGTCGTCTTGTAGACAGAATGGTCAACAAGAAAGCTCATCATCAAGGACAAAATATTGAAGGCAGATCTTACCGAGGTGCGTTTGCGTAGCGAGGCATGGTGCCTGGTAAAGTGTCCGAGAATAAATAAAACCAGTGTCGGCGATATGTGAGATGTTGCGCAATGAACAGATTAGAAAGAGCAAGAGTCTTGGCAGAAAGGGATAATGAGTGGTATAAGTAACCGGTGAGTAGAGAGAAGGGGCAGTCTGCTTATGCACTTTCTACGTAGAGGTGGTCGACGTGGCTCAAGTAAAAAGACTCTGTGGTAGCATCTCTTGGTTTGTGGTTGTCTACTACGATTGAGTGGGTGTTGAGAATCAGGCTGTAAATCATTCGAAGTCACAGATACCGCAATTACTATGAGCGAAATACATTTCAATGTATGCAAGAAACATACTATGCGGTAAGAAACTAGGACACCTATCAAAATACTCAAAGAAGCATCAAGACCATCACGGCACAACTGAAAACCCAATACCCAACATGTGACTGGCTGGCAGAGTTCGCCTGTTCAGGTGTCCCACTACCCGTTGCCGAAGTCGTCTCTCCCGTTGCACTCGCAGTTTCGCTCGCCGTAGTGCTAGTGCCAGTGCTATCAGGCTCTCCGCCGTCTTCAATGACAGAATCAAGACTAGCCAGGTTAGCCAAGTACCTTTCCGTGTTTTGGAAGCATGACGTACATGTGGATGAGACCGTTGTTGGTAAGAACATTCGCCTCAATGACTTTGGCATTGTTAAAGAAGATGTCTTCACCACGGATACTGACACGGACTTTGGTATTATTTAAAGTTCCGATGACTTGGCCGTCACGAAGATAGTTGGAGTAGGTGGCTTCATCGAGGGTATGAGCTCTGTTGGGTACATTAGCATGTGAGATGTGAAAGGGTTATTGACGTACAGAAGTGCGCCTCCCAGGTCCTGCTTTGAAAGTTTAACATCCGGATTCCCTGCGTTCTTGAAAGCTTCAGTTGACGGTGCAAGACAAGTAACGTTCTTGGAGTGATCAAGAGCAGACCAAAGTTGCGCTTTGATCAACGCGGCATCTAGGGCATCGAGTCTTGGATCTTTGATTGTGTGGACGGTGTTAGAGCAGGATCTAGGCGGAGACAAAACCCTGCATAGCTATTAGTGACGAGAGATAGGGTTGGCCAGCGCACCACTTACTTGTCAACAACCTGGAATGAATTGACGTCCTTGGATCCCCAAGAGCCATCGACAGCAGTCATCTTGATATCCTGCGCCAAACCCGCCCGTAGCATAACATTCGGTCCACCCATATCCTCTTTCTGCTGTCGCTTATTGTTTCCATCTCGTTTCAACGCAAAAATCACCTGCCCACTAGCCTCCTTCCCAAACTGACTCTGGATTTGAGGACCAGCGCTCCTGTTATTGAACACCATGCCCTGCAAGAGAGTAGGAATCGATAATCCTCGGTCGCCTTCAAAGTCCGAAGAAATGAGCGAGGCGTCAAGGATGTGGTATGAGAAGAAGATCTGGAGTTCTGTTTGGTTGAGCTCTGTTACATCGTAAATTTTGGATTCTTTGAGATAACTCTGGATGGCTTCATTGGTGGGGACTAGAACAGTGATGTTACTATCTCTGTTGTCTAGAGATGTGATGAGTGCTTGGGGAGAGAAGGTAAGAAGGGAGCGGAATAGAGAGAGGGATGAGTAGTTGGCGATTGCACTAGATAAGTCTTCTGCGAGAGTTTGGGCGATGGCTGCTGATGCGAAAGCCAGAGTCGCCGCGGCCTGGATGAAGAAAAGATTTTTCATTATGATGATATTTTTTCACGATAGGTAAGTAATACGGTACAGCGACGTTAAGTTTCAAGTCGGGGCGAGCAGAGATGATGCGATGTTATAGTGATCAGAATTTAAGGCTGAGCATCCATCCCTTCAGAATTGACGCAGTCCAGGTCCCAAAAGACCAGAGCCTGCTTCTCAATTGACAAATTACAACAACACATCCAAGCCATAGCTGCAGGGCAAAAGCGGGGAAGGCAACAGCAAGACATTTCTGAAGTAAGACAAGACACAAATGTGGTGGGCATTGACGCCAAGCTGAAAAGTAGTTGACAGCCATCAAGAAATACGCTTAATAAGTGATGAAGCTACCCTACGCCTCAGTCTGGAGAAAGAGGATGTGGCGTCGTCCGTCGCGGTAAATGCCGTACTATTGATATGTGGCGCCGTCTCCACGATCTGAAGCATCGATAGGCTGAGCTAAGTGGCGCAGAATTAAGACGCCATTGTAAGAGCAGCTCCGCATTGAGTCGGAATGCATTTTGGTACTCTATTATGTTTGTACCACGTGAACTATCATTGCCTTTGAGTGAAATGTGTAAGATCAATTGAGACAAATCTCGACCAGACTCTGGAAAGGTCTAGACCTAGCTGTGCCCTATTAGAAGGGAAGAGATTGCAACCTGTTGGACCAGCCCAGGACCTGGACAGCTGGGCTCAGAGGACAATGCGTTCTCCACAATTCCACGACAGTTGCCATTGGATAGTTTCTCAAGACAAGTTACGGTGCCTGCTGAGCACGAGCGGCCTTATCAAGGAGGTAAAACTCAGGGTCCTAGAAGAATTGACCCCGAGATCATAAGAGATGAAATAATTTAGTTACTTTTATGGTAGCTTAGACTAGCATTCAGGCTGCTTTAGTATTGTAGCATTAGCCTTTGAGGACAATTCTTCTGTCACCCGGTCGGTAATTAATTCTGAATGGCTATGCCAGATGAAGAGCGTACACCATCCCGGTACTCGGAACATCACTTATTGCGGAAGCACTTTGTGCCATGGCTGAGTAATACACGCAAAGAGAGAAGGGTCTTTCTGTCATTAAAGACAGCATGGGAACCCAGGTAACTTTATACCAGGGGCAAGCAATATTGCAGGGTAGCAGAAGTTTGTTTTCAGCCCATATTCAGCCCATCTACCCAGGGGTCGGAAAAGCTGAACACTTTAGCTCGGGAGGATAGGGGAACACAACCTGCGATAGCCAACACTTGAAGAGCGGAAGTGCGGCAAACCATGCCTTAATATAATCACAGCTACCCCAAGAACAGATAAATTTAGCGGACGATTCAATTGATCTGCAAGAAAAAGGTACAAATCGGTTAGAAACGACGGATATTACTGTTGGGACGAACCCCGTAGGCGAAGAAACAAACCCACTTCGGTTCTAACCGATTTCGCGCTACCACTCAGGGGGATATGTCAGTGCAGACGGTGATCAAGTCTTCAGCCTTGCATAATTCAAGTTAGTAGCCTCTGCAAATACAGTCAGAGCAGCTCGTAAATCGACATTTCATTTCATCTCAGCTGTTCTAGACGAAAACCTAGAAGAGAGAATTGTTTCGTTGGGTGCGAGTCAAGCTATGACGTCCAACTCCAGTTTCAGGTTTATTAGCACTCAACGTCTGACCCCACGCTAAGACCGTCAATAGTTTGTGTTAGTCACGATTTCTTAACCCAATATTGAGTAGCTGAAAAGAAACATGAGCCCATTTTATGGATGCTTCTAAATTGAACACTTGAAAAGTGGACCACTGTTCCCGTTCTAGCACCATGGGCAATTAAACCACTGTAGAATATCGTGCTTGGCGACGGTAGAGCGAGTCAGTCACAAAGAAGTAACTCGTATCGTGTCGTCTCATATATAATGATCTACTGATCTGCATTGAATCCAATCTTCAGCACACACTCATTCAGTCATTCTTTACTCGCACATTCGTTCTTTTACCAACTATGCAGTCGATCATTACCTTTGCAGGCTTGGCCTTTGCCAACCTTGCTGTTGCTGGCCCTTGCAGGCCCATCAAGCAGAGCACTATCTCTTCTGATCTCGTTTCTACCACTTCGGCTGACGTTACCGTTGTGACCGTTGTTCCCGTCCCTGTCGAGTCTACCTCTGAGGCTGAGGCTGAGACCAGCACTTTCGCTACTGTTGTTATTCAGGAGACTAGCAGTGCTGCCATCGAGACCTCTGCTGAGACTACTGCTGAGGTTGATGCTACCACTACCGCTGAAGTCGAGGCCGATGCCAACACCACTACAGCTGAGGCTGAGGTTGACACTACCACCACTGCTGAAATTGAGGCTGGTGTCACTACCACTGCCGAGCTCGAGACTTCCGCCACCACCAGCTACGCTCCCCTCCCCACCGCCGACCAGTCCTGCGAGAATGGCGGTCTCGACTACGCCATCTACGAGCACCAGTTCTACAACTCCGACGCTCCTCACTTCTCTTCCTTCGACCCCACCGTCTTCCACACTGCCACACCCACCTACGAGGGCATCACCGAGCGCATCGGAATTCAGCCCGGCACCGACTGGACCAAGCCTTTTACCATCTACGAGGGCAGCCCCGAGCAGATGTGGCAGTACAAGGCCGTCGACCACCGCGGTTTCCTCTTCGCCCCTGAGACCGGTACTTACAAGGTCACTGTCCCCAACTCTGATGAGATCACTCTTGTCTGGTTCGGCAACAAGGCTATCTCTGGCTGGACTCGCGAGAACGCCGATCTTGAGCAGGATTACCCTGGTGGCACTTCCCGATCTTTCGAGGTTGATCTTGAGGAGGGTACCTACACTCCTTTCCGTCTCCTCTGGGCTAACGCTCAGGGTGAACTGAACTTTATCGCTGAGGTCCAGGCTCCTGGTGGCCAGGTCATTGTCAACGGTGATGGTGCTGATAATGCTTACCTCGTCCGTTATGCTTGTGACGGTACCACTCCTGAGTTCCCTGACTACTAAGTCAACACTTGATGTAGCAATTGCTACCTTTATAGTATATACTATTCATTTTCTGAGCTAAATATTTCAATACTATAATATACCTACTGCAATTCAGTAGTATCACCAATCTATGTTTCATTCAGAAGAGGAGTAAATTTGCCAATACGAATAAAGCACATGGAAAAAGCAACACGTTAAGCGACGAGGTAACCCCAATCGGCATCATGTGCATAACAATTGGTGCAAGTATTCCACACCATTCCCAAGCCGGACCACGGCGTGACTTGGGGTAGTATCCACCCACCACTGCAACATTATTGAACTTCCTATCTAGATCAAAGCCGGTATATTTGAACTCCAATATGCATGCTTCGTATTTGTGCCTTGTTTAATTGTTGCGATGTGAATTGCTTCTGTCGGCATTGATCTCGAATTGAAGCAGCATTGTAACCCTACCAAGATTCACATTCTGCATTCAGTAGATACGCCACGTAGGAGGCGTGGAACAGGTGACAGAGACAGCTGATTTAGGAAAATGAGCCCGTCAAATGACGATCATGTTTACTTTCTGTTTTTTTCTTATCAAGCTGAAATGCCGTAGACCTTTGTGGGATTGTTTGCGATTTTATCTCAATCTATGATCTTGCCTATAAGTAGATGGTTCTCCGAGATTCCTCTATGGTAGATCAAGCAGGATCATCTTTTGTGGCCGCCAAGTGTTAAACAATGGCGCAAATATCCTTCAAGCCTCTAAGCATCCTCTTGGCGTGTCTAGCCTTGGTCACGTTCTTTATCCAATCTGCAACATGTCTTGCTGTCAACAACCGAGCAGGAGACACCCTCAATGACTTCACCAAGCGAGCTGAGGGAATATACTCCCTCGGTGTCGGCAAGGCTGACATAACCGGCCCTGTCGTCGAGCTCAACCTCATGGGATATGCCGAATTATCCCAGAAAGGAACTGGCTTGCGCCAACGTCTGTACTCACGAGCCTTCATTGTCGGAAACCCAGATAAGCCCAAAGAGCGATTCGTGTATCTCGTCTTGGACACTCAATCTGGCGACACTGCTATTCGCAGAGGTATTCTTGAGGGGATCGCAGCTCTTGGATCAGAGTATGACGTTTATACTTCTGATAACGTCGCTGTTACTGGTACCCATTCCCACGCTGGACCAGCTGGTTGGAACAACTATCTCATGCCTCAGATCTCTGCCCTGGGTTTGAACCAACAATCTTATCAAGCCGTCGTTGATGGTGCTGTTCTATCAGTCAGACGCGCTCATGAGAAGATTTCCAAAGGTCGTCTTAGTGTTGGAAAGATACGCATTGACGATGTGACTATCAACAGAAGTCTCTTCGCTTACCAACGGAATCCAGCGTCGGAGAGAGCAAAGTATGAAGATGAGGTTGACAAAGAACTGACTATGCTCACCTTCACTCGCGAAAGCGACAAAAAGGTGACCGGAGTTTTAACTTGGCATTCAATTCACGGAACAAGTCTTCATATGAACAATACTCTCGTCTCAGGCGACAACAAAGGTGTCAGTGCATATCTTCTTGAACAAGCCATCCAAGGCACAGAAGGAGCTGCCGAGGAGTTTGTGGCCGGCTTCTCCCAAGCTGCAGTGGCAGACACGACACCCAACGTCGAAGGCGCCTGGTGTGAAGACGGCTCTGGAAAACAATGCGACTTCAAGGACTCCACGTGTGGCGGTAAGACAGAAACTTGCCATGGTCGAGGTCCGTTCTGGGGCTTGAACGATGGTGGCACCAAGTCATGCTGGGAGATCGGTCGTCGAGTCTTTAAGCAAGCTGCCAAATTGTATGATCAGATGAAAGACGGAGGTGGTACAGCAGTCACTGGGAACAGTGTTCTCGGCTACCATTCATTCCACGACATGTCCAACTTCACATTTGAGTTACCTAGCGGGAAAACCGTGAAGACATGTTCTGCAGCCTTTGGATATGCCTTTGCGGCTGGAACAACAGATGGTCCTGGCTACTTCGACTTCAAGCAAGGAGACGCAGGCGATCCAGATGCGAGTCCGCTTTGGGGTATTGTATCGAAATTCCTCCGTAACCCTACCAAAGAACAGGTTGCTTGTCAAGAACCCAAGACTATCCTCATCGATGCAGGTGAAATCCCACTGCCTTACGCTTGGGCTCCCAACATCGTCGACGTTCAAATGCTTCGCGTTGGTAATTTTTTCATTATTGTTTCCGCGCCTGAACTCACGACCATGTCTTCGAGACGCTGGCGTAAGAGCATCAGTGATGAGATCGAGGGTAGAGGTGTAGACAAGCCCATCGTCGTCGCTGGTGGACCGGGAAACACCTATGCGCACTATGTTACTACACCTGAGGAGTATGATGCGCAGAGGTATGAAGGTGGATCGACTGTCCATGGAAGAAACAGTCTTGATGCTTACATCAATTTGACATCAACTTATGTCGGATATCTTCTGGGTGAGAAGGATGCTAAGAAACCTCCATCCGGTCCCGAAGCTCCTGATAACCGCAAGAACTCCCTCTCCCTCGTCACAGGCGTCGTCTACGACAATCCCAAGTCCGGCAGCAAATTCGGTAACGTCATAAAGGACGTTCCAAAGTCAGAGTTCAAGATCGGAGATACCATCAACGCTACATTCGTAGGTGCCAACCCACGCAACAATCTCCGCCTCGAATCTACCTTTGCAGCAGTTGAGAAGAAAGATGGATCTAAGTGGACTCAAGTCCGGTCTGACGATGACTGGGATTTAGTCTTTGAGTGGAAGAGGGTCGATGGCCTGCTTGGAACTAGTGAGGTTACGATCTCTTGGGAGACGGGTTGGCAGGATGCGAAGAAGGTTGCGGCTGGGACGTATCGGTTGAGTTATTTCGGGGACAGCAAAGCGCCTATTACGGGCAGGATCAGTGCGTTTACTGGACGGAGCAAGGAGTTTGATGTTGTTTAGTCGAGATGATGTTAGTAATGATTGGGTCCGCTACCGACCGCAAGCTGAATAAGAAGAGATATGGTTCTCTTTGTCTTTCTACTGTAGAAGCATTCCACGGAGAGCCTCCAACACGAATCAAAGACGATATAAACCAGCTTTTCAGAGATGTAGTCAGCTTAGCAGGTTCTTCCTGCTCATCTTGCACAGAATTAAAAGCACGATGCATCGAACCTACGCGCTCCTTGACGTGTTTCTCAAGACCTGGCAGTCCACAACATCTTTTACAGTGGGTATTCTTCTTGAGCTCATTCCTGATAAGCGCAGTACACAGTAACTTAACTCTAAAAACAACACAATAATCTATTCTCGAGAAGTCTGGCAAGATGCAAACAACCCTTGGCGGGTCAAAAAGGAGATTCGAACCGTAACGACATTTGACTATGCCCATTTTCTGCCCTCGCTCAATGTTGTGTAGGTAGGACAGCTTAACGAGTATACAGAAAAACAGCTGGTACTGTAATCTTCCCTTGTAAACGCTGATTGATAGTCACGTCCTACGTCAATGCTGTATGGCATGGGGTACAATCGGGCGATGATTTAAGCATCAATCGCAAACCTAGGTCTATCGGTGATTCTGTGGGTATACGCGTATGTGTAAGTGGACTTCACCGGTATCGGAACTCACGAAATAACCCGACATTTTGAACCGGGTAAAGAAAAAGCCGTGGAGATGTTAAGGAGGTAGATTGTAGAATATCAAGAGCTTAGCAAAAATCACATTAATCAGCGAAAGTACTTATTTAGTGCGAGCTGGCAGTCCCAGGGTCTAGTGCAGAAGTAATCTGAAAACAGAGAACATCACTTGGTGATTTGTGTTATCATGCTAACAAAAACAGCTGAGACGGTGGGGAGTTCCGTTGCACGAGCACGTTGGAACAGAACGCATAGCTTGCGATTGCCAATGTTTCTATTGTAACACTGAGTATCTGTAAAGTCAGGTCAGTCTGACAAGTACATTATTGGCACATTCCCGACTAAGTACACACTTTCCATTCTGGCTGGTACCAGGTTCCAGGTTTATGTCACTGATGGTGGAGTTGGATCCCACATTTAGCGAAGATCAATCCATGTGTTGAGCCGCTAAATTATATGGCATAACCAGAGACGAACACGCATCTCGTAGCTAGGAAAAGACATTTATCTATTTTTAGTCAAAGTAAACAGCACTGAGCCTATCACCTTACTCACCGTCAAGGCGTGTGTGTGTTGAAATTGCCAGGTTTAGACTTCCTTCATACAAAAAACACTTTGTATCCTCAAACCAAAGTAGCACAATATCTGATTCCCTGCGTATGGACCGTAGAATCCCCGGGGAATGCCCGAAAATAAATGGTAACTAACCTTCCTAGTCAGGTCTAGTCTGGCCTTTGGACAGAAGACGGTGTCTGGAGATACGAGTATAGATATGGAGACAGCTTGCGGAAGTTATCAAGCAGTAGGACCAAGCCACTCATAATTGCAAAGGAAACCATGCTCAGGCTGAAATTGTTCTTATAAATATAGGAACTTCCGTCGTTAACAAGACCTAACAACTACAATAACTTATCGTGTCTTACATATACTATGTAGATAGTATGAAAGTCAAAGTTAAATGGTTGGACTCTGCCTTGGATCTCGTAGCGGTGGGTCCAAGCATAAGTGCACGGTGTCATGGAAGTTTCCAATCCAGTCTTTCTGCTGACGCTTTGGTATTTACTAATTGTCGGCGAGGACAACATCGACTGTTATTCGGGAAGGAAACATATGCCGAAGTCTGTTAATTTGACAGATCGTATAGCAACGTTTGAACTTCCAAGGGGCTATCTTGTAAAACTGCTGGGGCTCGACTGACTGAGTGGTTGAGAACCCCGTATGATTTACCCTGCATTTTCGTCCCATGGTCCGATGTAGCTCCACTTGATTGATATGGCTAAAGCTTAATTTTAAGCCTGTTTCAATATCTCATCTAATTCTACGGAGATGGACACATAGGCGAGACCATTCTGTTGCATGGTTCCTGAAACCTTATTTCCGGAAGCTATACAGGAGCCCTGTACGACTCACGGGCGGGTACAAGTTACATCCGTTTCTGTTAGCGTCTAACTTGGTCGATTCTTCCACCAACCGGATAATACTTTTCAACTCTGAGTGTTGAAGATGAGCGGTAAACGATTCTATGACATTAGCACCTGTGTAAATCGGATAGACGTGGAGATCAAAAGGAGATATTTATAAAAAGGGCCATTGAGCCGTGCCTTTTCAAAAAAAAAAAAAAAA